GTTAAGCGTCCGACTTTCGCTTAGGTCATGATCTCGCGGTTCGTGGGTTCGAGCCCCGCGTCGGGCTCTGTGCTGACTGCCAGCTCAGAGCCTGGAGCTTGTTTTGGAGTCTGTGTCTCCCTCTCTCTCTGACCCTCCCCTGCTCACGCTGTCTCTCTCTCTCTCTCTCCTAGAAATAAATAAAAAATAAATAAATAAATAAATAAAAATAAAAATTTAATATGGCTGTGAAATGTATATAAAAGACAATTGAGAATTATTCATCAATTACTTTATTATTTGTCTACTTTTTTTTATATATAGCTCTCATTTGTAAAGGATGGAGTAAATCAAGCAGCACCGACATTTGGATTTGGCAGTATGCAAGGAGTAACATTTGGGTCACCAGGTAAATGATAAAGTGATGCAAGACTTTATCCATTTTGGAAACATAGGATTTTAGAGGCTTCAGATCATAAAGTCTGAAGGTGTGTTAAGTGACATTTTAAATCACTGTTGCAGATTCTACTGCCTTCCATAATGGCGCTTCAAAGAATTTGGCTCATCAGTCATTTGTGAAATGGAGGTCAAATGTTTTTTGAAAGACCCTATGACTCAGGCTTTCAAAGTGTGTTTTGGGAATGTTTTTCCAAAAGTTTTATGGGAATACATAGTAGCTATTGTAGCAGCACCACCATTGAGGACCTTCTTTTCACTGTGTATAACAACATAGTATGGCAATACTATGTCACTTTTTTTTTTTTTTTAAGAAAATTTCTTTAAAATTAGGACACAGGTAGGCAATGGTTCTCAGAGACCAATAAAAAGTCAAATTAGGACTGAGGGTTTCAACTCCCATAAAAAGTTTGCAAAAAATGGCAATTCAGGGAAAATTTAGGAAAAAACTAGAGATGTCAATTATTAGAGTATGATTTCATCAGATTCATCTTAGTTGAGAGCTGGAAGCAGCTTGAGAATCACTCCATTTATATAGGCGAAAACTGAGATGAAGTGACCACTTTGTATTTGCTTAAAAGAACATAGCTGGTGTGCCTGGGTGATTCAGTCAATTAAGCATCTGATTCTTGATTTCGGCTCAGGTCATGATCTCACCGTTGGTGAGATTGAGTCCTTGTGTTAGGGTCTGCACTGACATTGCATGGCCTGCTTGAGATTCTTTCCATCTCTCTCTGAACTCCCCCCCCCACCTTTCTCTCCCTCTTTCTCTCAAAATAAATAAATATTTTTTTGAATAAAAGAATATAGCTAAGGAAAGAGTTACTTCTTGATAATGGATGTAGCTGATTTACTTGGGGTACGGGGGGACAGAAAGTGAAAGTCCACCTCCTAATCCCAGAGGTTTCTCAAAGCTGTTATCCATGAATGTGGATAATCATGGTACAAATGAGGTCAGTACAGCAGAAAGACGGGACAACAGGGTTTAATGGGTTTGTTCTGACCTCTTCATTTCACTTCTTCCAATAAGCTTCTCAGCATTCAAACATGGCAGAAATAAAAAAAGGAGGGATGGTTAATACGGCTACATTTTCTGACTTATCATAGGTTATTTTCTCCTTTTTCTGGTTTTCATAGGTTTTCCAGTGAATAACAGCAGCAGTGCTAATGCTCAGAATTTCAGTTTTAAAACAAGCCCTGGCTTTGCCTCTGCCCCTTCTTCTGGAAGTCCTTCTGTGTTCGGGAATACTCCAGCATTTGGAGCCACATCATCTGCCAGTTCTGCCATCAGTACTTCCACTCCAGCATTTGGGAAACCTGCAATCACATCTGCTGCTTCATTTTCTTTTAAAAGTCCTGCAGCTTCTGGTTTTGGATCACCTGGATTTTCAGGATTTCCAGCTTCCGTAGCAGCAGCCTCTGCTGGAGTTCCAGCCTTTGGAAGTGGCAATTCTGTAGCTGGTTTTGGTAGTCTAGGCTCACATTCTCACACTGCTTTTTCCAAGTCATCCAGTGACACCTTTGGAAATAATAGCATATCCACCTCTCTCCCAGTCTCAAATGGCAGCACCACAACAGATAATGTATTATTTACACCCAAGGATCAACTAACAGCAGAAGAACTGGAGCAGTTTCAGTCAAAGAAATTTACTCTGGGAAAAATTCCATTAAAGCCACCACCTGTGGAACTCCTAAGTATTTGAAAGGACAATTTTAAATACAGAAAAGAATAGCCCTTAAAATTTTTTTGAGTGGTTCATATATAATTGTTCTGAGTGGTTCAAATATATACATACATATGTATATATGTACATAACACATTTAAGGAATATTGCTTTCAATAATAACTTCAGGGGTTTTGAAATTCAATATTTTTTTCATAAAAAATATTCAACAGAAGGGTTTTTTTACTTTAATTATGAATGGAACTGAAAAAACTGTCAGTGTGCACTGAATAAAGTGCTTTTCTCATTCTACATCACTTTACTGTCATACCCTTGAAAGGTTTACCTGTAAACATTTTTTTTTTTTTAAATGTTTTATTTATTTCTAGGAGAGAGAGAGAGAGAGACAGCGTGAGCAGGGGAGGGTTAGAGAGAGAGGGAGTCACAGACTGAAACAGGCTCCAGGCTCTGAGCTGGCAGTCAGCACAGAGCCCGACGCGGGGCTCGAACCCATGAACCGCGAGATCATGACCCGAGCGAAAGTCGGACGCTTAACCAACTACGCCACCCGGGCGCCCCAACCTGTAAACATTTTTTGCAGGGGGAAGGAAATCATTCCTAAAGCCATTGGGCGGTGGGGGGGGCGGAATGCCTAAATATGTAGCTTATTTACCAAATAAGCATCAGTAGCATCACTTTCCTTTATGTTGAAGAAAATTCTCTTAGAGAAATAAGTTTTTAAAGGGTAAAAACCTATTTTTCAGAGCTATGGAGGCATTTTCCCTCATAATTATGTTTCCCCCTCAGTTTTAACTCTGTCATGGACCACTATTTGAGTTTTCTTCAATTGTAGGCCTAATTTTTGTATAATTCTGTTTGTTCCTCATATTATCCCATCAAGTTGACAGATTGCAAGAGGAATGGAAATTGTGGTCCCCTGTGAATAAATAGTGTCTGTGGTGGGATCAAGAGTCACCAGCTCTGGTGAGCTTCTCTTAGAATTCTCAGACATGGTGGATTTCCCTGTATCCTCAGATTGAGAGAATAATGCTTCTGTCTCTTAGAGTTGATACAAAAGGCCAAAGACTTGGCATGAGCATATGTGCCAGAGTTCTTTGCTCCTCTCTCAAGCCTCCAGAAGGACATAGCTAGCACTACAGGAGCAGTTATCTGACATAGATCTGGTATCGAGCTGATTTAAGTGAAAACAACCTTACCTAATAAAAGATAGGTACCCCAAATGAATATAGCATAGATGCAAAGTATTCAGTCCTCACAGGATCCAGATGTTACTTCTTTCAAAGAACTGTATGACTTCCAGCTAACACTTCTGAAAACCCAAAATTTGGGATAGAATCTATAGCCAAGGGGTGTATGTTTGAAACCATTCTTGGTGTAGAAATGGTAAATAGATCCCAAATTCCTGCTTCGGTCTCAAGCTCTAAAGACTTTTCAATGTTTATTCCTACTTACAGTTGACTCCTAGGAAGTTCCTACCCTGATGGAAGGAACCATATGCTACCAGGCTTACCAGTCTCCCATGGCTCCCAGCTGAACTTTCCGGTTCTGTCCGGCTCTGAGGCTCTGAGGATGCAAGTTAAGGATCTAGTGTTTCTAAATTTGCCTGATGAGAAGGATTACCTGTGGTATTTGTTAAATTACATGTCCAGAATAATATATTTACTGGGCTAGGCCTGGGGATGTGTTTTACCAATTGTTTCCTGAGATTCTACATGCAAGTTTGGGAAATAGGGGCCTATCAGTTGCATATAGACTACTTAGTAATATGTGATTTGGGATTTCTGTTATTATTGTTGTCTATTTTAAGTGCTTTCACACGCGCGCACATACACACATATACGGTACGGTGAACTTCATGAGATCCAGGGTTGTCAAATGGTGCTGTTGTCAAAAGGCACAAAGAAGTGCTATGGTTTACTTAACAGATTGAGGAACTTACTTAACAGATTGAGGAACTAAAGCAACAAAGTTCACAAAGCAGAAACCGGCAGTATGCGTGCCACCCAGTATCAGGAGTCAAAGGCCAGTATCTCCTAGACCTGGCTAAGAGGCAGCACTGCTTCGGAAAATAGAAACAGGTACCAATGAGGTGGTGGCCAGGTAGATTGAGTTTCAAGACCCTGAGAGGGAGTGGAAGGGAAAAAGCAACCCCAAGAGCATGTGCTACCATCTGGATTTATTCAGTGGGGCAAGAACCAATACTAGGTGAGCTGGTCTAACTGGAAGTTACACTCCCAAATAAGCAAAATCCACCTCCCTTCACAGCTGCTGCAATGGGTGTCCCTGTTTACCTAGGATGGGAGCAAATTACAGAATTGCAAAGAAGGTTTTATTACAAGTAAACTGATTTAACTAGCTTTGTTATCTGATTGTAGATTAGAAGAAGTCTAACAGCTGAGAGCTGATTAGAAGAGGAGAGAAAAAAGCTGATATCACTGTTCAAAAGGCATAACATGATTTAGCTACACAGTATTATTCATAAGAATATAATAATTCAATCTGGTGTCCAACAGTATTAGACAGCCTTTCTAAATGACCTAAAAGAGGGGTGCTTGGGTGGCTCAGTTGGCTAAGCATCCAGCTCTCAGTTTCAGCTCAGGTCATGATCTCAAGGTTTCCTAAGTTCGAACCCTGTGTGAGGCTGTGCTGACAGTGCGGAAATTGCTTGGGATTCTCTCTCGCTCTCTCTTCCTTTCTCTCTCCCCTCCCCTGCTGTCTCTGTCTCTCTCAAAATAAGTAAACTTAAAAAAAAAATAAGTGACCTAAAAGAATAGAGAATAACTTGGAAAAGCCTTCTGTAGTCAGTGGACAAAAGCCCATTATAAAATAGTATGTACAGCGGTCCGATTTAGGGAGAAATTGTATATTCATAGGAGATGAAAGCCTGAAAGTTAATAATAGCTCAGCTTTGTTTTGTTACTGCAAAAAAAAAAAAAAAAATCCACAACATTAAATTTACCATCTTAACTATATTTAAAATTTTTTTTTTAAATATTTATTTATAGGAGAGAGAGAGAAGCAGAGCATGCGCAGGGGAGGTTCAGAGAGAGAGAGAGAGACACAGAATTGGAAGGAGGCTCCAGACTTTGAGCTTTCAGCTCAGAGCCCAACACAGGGCTCGAACTCATGAACCATGAGATCACAACCTGAGCCAAAGTCAAACACTTAACCGACTGAGCCACCCAGGTGCTCCTCATCTTAACTAGTTTTAAGTATATAGTAGTGTTAGGTAGTATGTACAACATTCACATTGTTGTGCAACAGATCTCTCAACCTCTTTGTTCTTACCACACTTGAAACTATCCCATTGTTTGTATGAACCACATTTTCTTTATCCATGTATCTATTGATGGAATTTGGGTTACTTCCACCTCTTGGCTACTGTAAATAATGCTGCAATGAACATGGGTATGCAAATATCTCATTGAGATCCTGCTTTAAATTCTTCTGGATATATTTCTAGATGTGGGATTGATAAGTCAATGGCATCTCTCATGTTAGTGTGTTGAGGAACCTCTACACCACTTTTCATACCAGCTGTACCATTTTACATTCCCAACAGAGTTCCAAATTCTCCACATCCTCTCCAACACTTACTTTCTTGTTTTGATAGTAGCCATCCTAATGGGTGTGAGATAATACCTCATTGTTGTTTTGATTTTGCATTTCTCTTATGATTAATGACATTGAGCATCTTTTCAGTTACTTGGCCATCTGTATATTTTCTTTGGAGAAACGTCTAAATCCTTTGCCTATTTTTTAATCCAGTTATCTGGATATCTTATTGAGTTGTAGAAATTCTCCCTATAGTCTGGATATTAACCCTTTATCAGATACACAATTTACAAATATTTTCTCTTATTTCATAGTTTGCCTTTTCACTCTGTTGATTGTTTCCTTGGACATATGGAAGTTTTTTGGTTTGATGTCCCATTTGTCTATTTTTGCTTCTGTTATCTGTGCTTTTTGTGTCATAGTCAAGAGACCATTTCCAACTCCAGTGTCCTGAAGCTTTTTCCCTTTGTTTTCTTCTAGAAACTATGTAGTTCCAGGTCTTACATTCAGGTATTTAATCCATTTTAATTTATATATATGGTGTAAGGTAAGAGTCCAACTCCTTTTTTTTTTTTTTTTTTTTTTTTTTTTTTTTTTTTTTTTTTTTTTTTTTTTTTTTTTTTTTTTTTGCATGTGGATATGCAGATTTCCCGATACCATTTGTTGAAGAAAGAGACTATCCTTTCCCCATTTTGCAGTCTTGGTACCTTTGTCAAAAATTATTTGGGTATATATATGCAAGAGTTTGTTTCTGGGCTTCATTCTGTTTCATTGGTCAATACATCTGCCTTTATTTATTTATGTGTTTTTAATTAATTTATTTTTATTTATTGTTTTAATGTTTATTTAGTTTTGAGAGAGACAGAGTGAGCGGGGGAGGCACAGAGTGAGCTGGAGACACAGAATTGGAAGCAGACTCCAGGCTCTGAGCTGTCAGCACCGAGCCCGGCGTGGGGCTCGAACTCATGAACCATGAGATCATGACCTGAGCCGAAGTCGAAGGCTCTACCAACCAAGCCACCCAGGGCCCCTATTTATTTATTTTTTAAATAGTTTATTGTCAAGTTGGATTCCATATAACACCCAGTGCTCATCCCAACAAGTGCCCTTCTCCGTGCCCTTCACACCCCTACCCTCTCCCCCACCCCCTTGTTCTCAGCATTCAAGAGTCTCTCATGGTTTGCCTCCCTCCCTCTCCCCAACTATTTTTCCCCTTCTTCTCCCCCATGGTCCTCTATTAGGTTCCTCCTAATCCACCTATATGTGCAAACATGGTATCTGTCCTTCTCTGCCTGACTTATTTCACTCAGCATAACACCCTCAAGTTCCATCCATGTTGCTACACATGACCAGATTTCATTGTTTCTCATTGCCGTGTAGTATTCCATTGTATAGATAAGCCACATCTTGATCCATTCGTAGGTGGATGGACATTTAGGCTCTTTCATGTTTTGGCTATTGTTGAGAGTGCTGCTATCAACATTGGGGTACATGTGGCCCTATGCATCAGCACTCCTGTATCCCTTGGGAAAACTCCTGGCAGTGCTACTGCTGGGTCATAGGGGAGTTCTGTTGTTGGTTTCCTGAGGAACCTCCACACTGTTTTCCAGAGGGGCTGCACCAGTTTATATTCCCACCAACAGTGTAGGAGGGTGCCCATTTCTCCACATCCTCGCCAGCATCTCTAGTCTCCTGATTTGTTCATTTTAGCCGCTCTGACCAG